GAGTTTCCTATGTATCCTTGAAATGTTACAATCCCTACACAGTAGCCCCATAACCCATAAATTTGTATATAATTTATATGCAAGTCCATGAGGTGAGGTAATTGAATTTATCTAACCTTACAAAATAATAGTATAATAAATATATATTTTTTAAAATTAATATTAATATTTATTTTTTTATATATATTTATAAAAAAAATCCCTTTAACTCATATTTTGAAAAACATAAATTATAAAAATCTCAAATAATTTCTGTCTTTTCTAATAAAAATCACTGACAAAGGACTTCATCTATATATAAATATATAAAGTAAGACAAGTGGCTATTGAACCAATGGGAAGGACTGGTTCCGACCCCTGTCCACTGATGAGCAGCTTTTTACGGCCTTACTTAAAGCTTCGGCCAGTCGGCATCTGTGGGCCCCTCTCAATTTAATTAGTTCAAATCACTGTTTTTTAATCTAATTTCTAGACCAAAAACCTTTAAAAGGAGATTAAATACAAATGTAGTTTTTAAGCTTTCAATTTTAAATAATGTTCTCTCCAAAACTATTTTATATTTTTTTTATTCTTTTAATTATAAAAAATAATTTTTTATTCATTTTATCAGTTTATCAATTAAGTTTGTACAACTAGCATCATTTTGGTCTTAAACTTTTGTTTTATGTACATTTTTGCCTCTAAACTAATATTTATTGCACATTTTTAGTTTTAAAATTTTTGTTTTATACACATTTAGGTTACTAAAAGAAATTTTAAAAAAATCAAAGTTGAACATATTTATCCAAACAAAACTAACAAAAAGAATTAAAAGACAAAAAAGTACCAAAAAAATTTAAAGATTAAAATTATTCAAAATTAAAATTTAATGGCTGAAATGGCATATTTAACCTAAAAAAAACTACTTTATTTATTTTAAAATAACTTTTATTTTTATTTTTTTCTCTAAATTAAGGATTTAAGGATAATTTATATATTTATTTGTAATATCCTTAAAAAAGAGATATAATAAAAAATAAAAAATAATTTTTTAAGATTGCATGATCAATTAATATAAATTGATAATGATAGACTTAAATAAAAAAAAATATTTGTCTATCATAAAAAATAAAAAATGACAATTAATTTAGGATAAGTTTAAAGAGAAAAACAATAGTAATTTTAAGACATATAGAGTCTTAACTATAAAAAACAAAGTGGGTTATGATTTCAACCACACAATTAAATGTTAGCACCACACAATTAAACGTTAGGGTCACTCAAAAAAAATTTTAAGTGTATTTAGTTTAATTATTAAGAGTAATTAATAGTTAATACAATTAACTAAAAATTAATGTTTATTAATTAATAGTTTGAAATTAGCCTATGATTTAAAATTTTCAAACACTCTAAGCAATCATAAATTGATAAAATCAAATAAATTAAAT